TGAGTTGTTACACACTCCTTAGCGGATTCCGACTTCCATGGCCACCGTCCTGCTGTCTGTATCAACCAACACCTTTTATGGTGTCTAATGAGCGGGCACTTTGGCACCTCAACTCCGCGTTTGGTTCATCCCACATCGCCAGTTCTGCTTACCAAAAATGGCCCACTTGGAACTCGTATTCAACGCCAAAGTTCAAAATCAAGCAACTTTGACATCATACCCATTTAGAGTTTGAGAATAGGTTAAGAACATTTCGTTCCCAAGTCCTCTAATCATTCGCTTTACCGAGTATAACTACTAATGAGCTCCAGCTATCCTGGGGGAAACTTCAGAGGGAACCAGCTACTAGATGGTTCGATTAGTCTTTCGCCCCTATACCCAAGTCAGACGATCGATTTGCACGTCAGAACCGCTTCGGACTTCCACCAGAGTTTCCTCTGGCTTCGTCCTGCTCAGGAATAGTTCACCATCTTTCGGGTCTCACCGCGTACGCTCTTCCTCCACCCTACTGTAAACAGTTAGAATGGGGCCATGCTGCCCTTTTTTACAAGATCGCACGTCAGACTCTAAAGAGCCATTTACTTTCATTTCGCTTGTAGGTATTTAACACCCAAAAACTTGCGCACACGATAAACTCCTTGGTCCGTGTTTCAAGACGGGTCGGATAGATGACCGGCTTTTACATGGGGAGCGAGTACGAGAGCATTAACTGGACCGATCTAAATGAAAAGCACGTGTCGCATGCGACCGTAACTTACAATCAGATCGAACCAATAAATGCCCGTAAACCATACTCAAATGTCCAAGACAAAAGATGCTAACGCTGTTTGGGTACCAGCAAGCTGGCCTCAAAACGGCGGTTACAAATCTGCCTCAAACATCCCCAAGCACCAAACAAGCAAATGCATCACAGAAAATTATGATGCTTCTTTCTGTCCCAATCTGGAGCTCAGAGATCACAACATAAAAATAATGTAAATGAATACTTGAAAGATACGCCGACTCTATCCGTTTCCACCTCTCCGGTTTCACGTCCTCTTTAACTCTCTCTTCAAAGTGCTTTGCAACTTTCCTTCACAGTACTTGTTTGCTATCGGTCTCGTGGCAATATGGCAATATCCCTCTAAGAAGCTGTATACACAAAGAGTATGTACCAACTATTTAGTAGGTTAGAGTCTCGCTCGTTATCGGAATAAACCAGACAAATCACTCCACGAACTAAGAACGGCCATGCACCACCATCCACTGAATCATGAAAAAGCTATCAATCTGTCAATCCTCACAGTGTCCGGGCCGGGTGAGTTTCCCCGTGTTGAGTCAAATTAAGCCGCAGGCTCCACTCCTGGTGGTGCCCTTCCGTCAATTCCTTTAAGTTTCAGCTTTGCAACCATACTTCCCCCGGAACCGGAAGACTTTCGTTTCCGGGAAGCTCCCCACCAAGGCAATATAATTTCCATCAGCGGATCGCTAGTTGGCATCGTTTACGGTCAGAACTAGGGCGGTATCTGATCGCCTTCGAACCTCTGACTTTCGTTCTTGATTAATGAAGACATTCTTGGCAAATGCTTTCGCTGTAGTTTGTCTGGCCACGGTCCAAGAATTTCACCTCTCACGGGGCCATACAAATGCCCCCGTTTGTCTATTGTTAACCATTATCTCAGTCCGTAAAACCAATAAAACTGAACCGAAATCGTTTTCTATTATTCCATGCACGATCATTCAAGCGAAAACGCCTGTTTGAAGCACTCTGATTTGTTCAAAGTAAACTTGCAATGACTGTTAAAAATCCTGTTAAGGACTCAAAACCGAACATTACGATAAATCGATAACACCCAGAAACACCCGAAGGGTTCCAAGGTACCGATACGAATCCAACTACGAGCTTTTTAACCGCAGCAATAATTCTATGTATTAGCAGAGCTGGAATTACCGCGGCTGCTGGCACCAGACTTGCCCTCTGCTTGATACTCGTTAAAGGGTTTAAATTGTACCCATTCCGATGACCGGCCTCAAAGAGAACAGTCTCGTTATTTCTCGTCACTACCTCCTCGAGCCGAGAGTGGGTAATTTGCGCGCCTGCTGCCATCCTTAGACGTAGTGGCCATTTCTCAGGCCCCTTCTCCGGAGTCGAACCCTGATCCTCCGTTATCCGTCACCACCACGGGAGTCGATTATGCTCCCGTCAAGTTGATAAAGTGGACGCTTGAAAGACACGCCGCCGGCACAAGGCCATGCGGTCAGCTTAGTTATTCTGAGTCAACAAGAAGCAGCCGAAGCCGCGTGGTTTTGTTCTAATAAATGCGCTTTTCCGAGAGGACAAAGCTCTGGTGCATGTATTAGCTCTAGCTTTTCCACAGTTATCCATTTAGATAATCAAGATCAAGTAAATCATGGCCATTGTAATGAGCCGTTCGCGGTTTCTCGTTAAAACGATTAAACTTATACATGCATGGCTTAATCTTTGAAATGAACACATCAGTTCAGGCAGGATCAACCAGAT